GAAGGGTCTCGGCCCGAAACGCCAGCCTTCCTGCTCCTCTGATGCTGCTTGGCCTGCTGTGTTCATCCAGCTCTACACCTTGTTATCTCAGATTCTCCAGCATCTGCAGTTCCTACTATCTCTGAATAACTTTACCGACTTTTCCTTTAGAATATCGTTCTTAAGCTGAACCCATGCAAGAAAGGACAGAGATCAATAACAATTGGACAGCAGCGGAGGTAAATCAGTGGAGATAAAACCACTGGTGGTTAGTTGATAACAAGATTGAGTTTAAACATCCACAGATAGGTGGAATAAGGCTAAAGGGAGTGAGGCGTGAGCATTCTACAATATGAAGGTAATTCTGCAATAATACAATTTGTGTTTGCTTGTCAGGAGACAATAATGAGTCAGGATTTAAGTGCAGAGAAGGGTAAGGAGCTGAGGAGGAACAAAAAAAGGAAGAATTAGAGTAGCCGTGGCCTTGATGGTATTGCTAAAAAAAAGAACTACAAATAAGACAGGTGCAAAGAGATATCAGACCAGGTCAAACTACTCTTCGCTAAATGTCCTGAGGCGTAAGAGGGGTGTTTTAAAAGAATCCTTCACTAAACAAATGAAATGTGTTATCTTATCCCTATTTGTTAAGATTATAAGGAATAGGGACAGGAGTAGACCTTTTGGCGCTTAAATAACAAGAGCAATGCTCCACTCAGTACTCCAGATAAGCCTCATAGAATTGGAGCAAGACTTCTGTACTCTTCAAATACTTTTTGAACAAAACAATGCTTTTGGGAAATCCAAATACATTATATTCATTGCTTATTCCTTCTCCATGCAATTAAATACATAATTGTCAACAAACTATTGGTCAAACATGATTTTCCATTGATGAATCCATCGTTAACTTCGCTACCATTACGTCAATACATTTTTGATTCATAACAATTGGACAGCTGTGTAGTAAAACAGCACTGTTCCATGGAACATTAAACGATCTAAAACCGTCATCCGGGGTCCCCTGTGGTAGCACTCTTGCTTTTGGGTCAATAGATTATAAACTTCAGGATCTTGAGCACAAAACCAGCCTGACAGTCCAGTGAGGGACAAAGGAAGTGCTGCACTGTACAAGGTGCCATCTTTCAGAGGAGACGCTAAACCAAATGGGTCATAAAGGAATCCATGGCATTATTTTGAGGATTTGAGGTGGTGTTCTCCCTAGTGTCCTGACCAATACTTATTTAATTAATTTTCATTGGTAAAACAGATGATTTGGCCATTGTCTGCTGGTGCTTGTAGAATCCTGGTACAAACAAATGTAACCACAATGTTACCAATATTACGACAGTGATTGCACTTCAGATGTTGTTACATTGGCTGTGAGGAATTCCCTGAAGTCAAGTAAGTTTCTTTCCTTCCATCTTCCTCCAGCCAGGAACAGTCTGATTGGGAAAGATGCTCAAAATAAAGTCAATACTGCTCTGCAATCACAATCTCAGGTCTCAAGATGTGTAGGACATGGAAATGCCAGACCAGTCTATAAGGATTGGCTGACTACGGTAATAGTTGAGCTAGACCACTGGGAAACGTGAGCAGGGAATGGAGTGCAGTGCCTGCCTTGGGGCTACCCTGGCTTCGTGCTTGAAGCTGACGGTACAAAACCTAAAAGAAAGGTCAGAACAAGCAATCCGGGTCATCAACAATAGTTATATACAGGTAAGAATTGGCTGAATGTGGTTATCTACAGGACTCCATCTAAAAAACTGTTCTCTGGAATTAAAACACATCCTTTCATTTATTGGACCTCTACTTTGATCTGGATGAGTCAGACATGTTTTCCGCTGGCTGTGTGAGAAATGAGTTAAGGCAGGACCCCCAATCCCCAACATCATCCAAGACTTGGCAAACCCATCAGGTGGCAATACAATGCACGTGGGTGGTGTGGGAAGTGGAAATGCCAATCTGACAAGTACAGAATGCTGATCTGTGATGAGGGGGCTGACTTTAGCGCTGGTGACAGGGCAATGGCGATGCTGACCGGCCAAAATTGGGGTGCAAATCCACTGTGGGACCCCCGAGCCACACCTTGTCTGTGCACATTTGGCTGTCAGTAGGGCTAGAAGATGGCCAGCCACTGCCTGGAGCCGTAGCCACTATGAGGGCTCTACTTGGTCGAAAATGGAGGCAATGGATGGATGGAGCCCTTGTCTCTAGGAATGTGGGGTCTGGGGTGAGATTAGTGGGGTCACATGGTGTTGTTGCTATGGGGGCAGTCATTACTGCCTTTGTGGACGTTCCATAGGTCAAAGAGTGCCCAATATGAAGGTCCATCATCCTTAGAGCATACCACATGGGTTCACCGACCAGTTTCCATTTATGCAAATCCAGTGGAGGTGAGAAGGCCTTCATTGCTACTTAAATGCTCTCCAATTGCAGGACTGTCCTTTATCTTCCCCACCGCTCACAGGATAACACGGCCATAAGATGACCACTGTCACACCATCTCCCCTCCTTTATTCTACTGTTCTCTCAAACCCACCACTCAGCCCATCCTGAGCTGGCTAATAAAATCCATCTCTTAGACCAAAACACGTCCTTCCAGCAGAACAAAACAAATAAAACTAACAAGAGACGTTACTCTTTCTTTATTCCTTCATGGGATTTGTGCGTTGCTCGTTAGGCCAGCAATTATTGGCTGCACATAATTGTTCTGGAGCATGTTGTGACGAACTGCCTACTTAAACTGCTGCAGCCCTTCTGGGGTAGGCATAACCACAATGCTATGAGAAAGAGGGTTCCAGGATTTTGACCTAGCAACAACGAAGGAAGGAAAATATGGTTCCAAGTCAGCATGGTGCGTGACTGGAAGGGAAACTTGCAGTCAGTGGTGTTTGCATGTATGTGCTGCTCTTGTCCTTCTAGAAAGTAGTGATCATTAGTTTGGAAGGTGGTATCTCAGAAGCCTTGGTGGATTTCTACATCTTGTAGATGGTACACACTGCTACCACTGTGTGTCAGTGGTAGAGAGAGCAGATATTAAAGATGTTAAATGGGGTGCCAATCAAACAGTTTGCTTTGTCTTGGATGGTGTCAAGCTTCTTGAGTGTTGTTGGAGCTGCACTCATCCAGGCCTGACATTTGCCTTGGAGATGATGCACAGGCTTTGGGGAGTCAGCTCAGGAGTTCCTCGCTGCAGATTTCCCAGGCTCTGAATTGGCTTGACCGAGATGTTCCATTTCCCAAGTATTTGCTTTAATCAGCACAAAATGTACCATCTTAAACAAACTACAAGAACATTTTCTGCTCAAATAATGGATCAAAAATGCGTCAAAAAGACAGGAACAACAGGCATCAAAAGCAAACTGCAGAGTCAGGTAAATGTCAGGACCAGTTCCAGAAAATAATCAAAAATGTTAGTGGAATGGTAGCCTTTCTATCTAGAGGATAAGAAGTCAAAGAAGCTTCAGCTCTCCAAAGCCCAACTCAGATCACACCTGCAGAATTGTGAAGAGTCTGGGCACCACCCCTTCAGAAAGATATAATGATCTTGGAAAGAACGCAATGCAGATCTATCAGAACAATCTGTGGGTTAACTGCCTTGTGTAAGGTTGGGGGGCTGTAGTTCCTAGAACTCAAAAGCTGAAGTAGTGGGTTTGATTGCAGTTTTGAAGCTATCATCGACAATCGATAAGGGAGACAGAAGCTATTTCAGCTAATGGAGGATCCTGCACGAGGGACATAGCCGAAGAATTACAGCCAGACCTTTCAGGACTGATGTAAAGAAACACATCCACATGGAAAGCGTTTGGAACTCTCTCCTGTGAATGGCAATGGATGCTGGATCAATTGCTGATTTAAAATGATTGATTGATACATTTTTGTAATTGAAAGTTAAGGATTATGGAATAGAGGGGAATACATGAACTTTGGCATTGAATGGAATACAGTTGAGGGATTAAATGGTCTTCTATTGATCCTGTTGTTATCTAAGGTAATGGTTCATAAGGGGATAAATGTTACCTTGGCTCCACTCATTCTACTGATATTACACACAGTCTGTGGTGGAGACAAGGAGTTCTTTTCTCGCTTGCAGAGGGATCAGACGTATCTGAACCAACTCCCTAAGGTCCCAGTAACTACGCCTCACCAAATGTAGTTGTACTTATTGCTGTCATGCAATAAACTTGTTATCTAAGAACAGTGCCTGTTGTGTAGATACTCTACGGTGCTGTATCCTCTGCCACTATTCATTAGAAAGGTCCGAGATAAAGGGGGATTGGTCAGCTATCTCAAATAATCCTTACCACGTACCAGTATCACATACTGGTTAGGGTGGCAAACACCATAAGATGTCAGCATTGGGCAACTGGGTAAATATCACACCTAGTTTCTTAAAAGGCCACGAAATACAGGCCTTCAATGTCAACAGATATTTCATTGGGGTCTGGTGGAAATATTATTCAACGATGAAACATAGAAGCTGAACAACTATTCTTGTGGTGACTGTGACGACTTTTTAACAGAATGATCTATATGGTCTCACTCATCTGCTCTCTCCCTAGAGGCTTGCAAATTGCTCCTTTTGATGTATCCAATTTCCTGTTCAGAACTACATTAAATCTGCTTCCACCATCCTTTCAGGCAGCGCATTCCAGGTCATAACTCACTGTGTAAAATCATTTCTCCTCTTCTCACCTCTAGTTCTTTTGCCAATTATCTTCGATCTGTGACCTCTGCCATTGTAAGCAGTTTATCTCTAGTTACTCTGTCAAAGCCCTTCATAAGGTTTTCACAATTCACCTACTTTTCCCCTTAAGCTGTTTTGCTGTAAGGAGTACAAACCTAAGGATACCAGTTTCTCCCTGCAAACTCCTCTTCCTTAAAACCATTCCATTAAATCTCCTCTGCATCCTGCCCAAGACTTTGTCATCCTTCCTGAAATTTGGTGGCCAGAATTGGCCACAATGCTGCAGCTTAAGACTCAACAGCGATTCATGAAGGTTCAGCTAAATGTCCTTACTTTTGCACTCGATGCCCCTATTTATAAAGCCATGCTTTTTTCAGTTTGTTCTCAATCTTGGCTATGAAGCATTCAACAAAATGATTTATGAAGCAATATAAATCCTTTCATCATTAAAGCAAATCCGTCTGCAAGGTATCTAGCTTTAGGGATTTACTGGAAATAAACTGCTGAGAAATATTGCCTGATGAATGTCTGGTTAACATAATAACATGGAAATTAATTTTAAACAATTTACTCAAACAAAACAAAAAGATTAGCGCCCAAGACACAGGCATAATGCCCAGCGATGACAGTCATGTGATAATCATAAAACTTATATTTTCAAAATCCTCAATATATACCTTAAATTTTACTGCCAAAACTGATGTTGCTTCCCTCCTGTCAAATGAACTGCTCCTCAGGGCTGCTGACCTATAACATCATAAGATGAAGAGATTGTTGTCAGAAGCACAATCCAAGAGTTAATGCTGGAGTCACATTGCACATTAGCTCTTCAGTAGCAAAGGCAACATTCAAAACTTTCCAAAAGCTGCTTTTGAAATACCGCAGCTTATTTTAGGGGGCGAGGTACTATACAAGGAAGAACTTTTAATATAAGTGTGTTTTTTTTTAATGTTAAGTCTCCCATGTAAACAGTGTTAAAAAAAAAACAAATATTCTACCTGCTCTGGCTTACTGCCAAATTGAACAAACTGCTTCAAACTTATAAGATGTGGCTGGCTGGAAGTGAGATCCTGCACTAACTCAACAAGGGATTCCTCCCAATTGATTCCATAGTGCCATGACAGGTCTGCAGCTCATTCTTACCAGTACTGTTTATGCGGCTTAACACTGATTATCCTCTAAATAAACGGCAGCTTCACACATCACTCCTTTACCCTATCCCCAGTCATCCATCCTTCAGGAGACAGTAGTGGGTCTTTTACTTGCATAGCAGTCATCCACGTGGTGTAGGCACTGCCAAAGGGCCATTAGGATTGGGCGTGTTAGGATTTTGACAGGCAGAGTGACAAAGGATGAATGCACGGATCTTCCTTTTTGAAAAGGAACTGCACACTGGCATCGACTCAGTGCAAGGGGTGACGGGGACAATGAATTCAACTGGGATTTCTCAACGCCAGTGGGAGAGAAAGAGCATCTTTATTCTTGGCAAGGTAAAGAAGCTTTTCTTTGCAATGAGAGCATTTCACTCCCCGGTAGCTGTCGTTTTAAGTAGTTTGTAAAAATGGCTATCCCTTGGCTATCAGCCTCCATCTCAACTGTGCTCCTCACCAACAGTGTCTTCATGTTTTGATGGTACAGATCAGCAGCCCAGTGGAGCAGTTCATTTGACAGTGTGGGGGGAGGGGAGGGGGAGAACAACATAAATTTGGCAGTAACGTGCAAAATGCATAAATTCAGAACTTGCCGAGTGTTTTGGTTTTAATAAGGAATTCATCGTTAGAGGAAAAAGTGTTCTGAAGAATGGTATTAATTAGGGGAACCTCGAGCACCATTCAAGGAAGGGCACTCACACTCCTTCACTGTGTTTGCAACAGTAAATGCAAAGTTTTGAATGTTCCATTTTGCCATGGATTCCACTGTTAATAATAGACAGGTGTCCCACGTCTCTGTGCCTTTATTTCCACTGCATTTCAGAATGCAGTGAATGCACAGATTTCCTGCTCCACTTACTGTATTGCTGGATGGAAATAAGGGTTCCTGCTCCAGAAAAATAAAACGCAAGAAAGAACTGGGATTTAAATAGCACCTGTGATGAACTCAGAACAGCCAACAGAGCTTTACAGCCCAGGAAGTACAGTTACTGTTATAATGCAGGCAAACAAAACAGTCAATTTGTACACATTCCCACAAAAAAGCAATGAGGTCGAGTTGAGTGATACCAATAGCTAGCTAAACGTAGGCTAAGAGACTGGAAAACACCCCTGCTCTTCTTTGAATGGTGTTTGTGGAATAATAGGCAGATAATCAGGACCTGTGTGTAATGTTTCATCCAGAAATAAATACCTCCGATGATGCAAGACTCTTAATGCTACAATGTACAGGGTGTGTTTTCACATTGGGAGAAGAATGGACATATTACTAACTGCTCGTTGCAAGATTACCAACCCTCTGAGGTTGCCTTGGGGTCTCCTACAAATCAGAAACAAAAACCATAAATGACTGGAAAAGCTCAGCAGGTCTGGCAGCATCTGTGGAGAGAAATCAGAGTTAATGTTTCGGGATCAGTGACCCTTCCTCAGATCCTTCCCCCATTCTGAGGGTCACTGAAAATGTAGCATTTGCTCTGATTTCTTTCCACAGATGCTGCCAGACCTGCTGAGCTTCTCCAGGAAGTTCTGTTTTTGTTTCTGATTTCCAGCATCCGCAGTTCTTTCGGTTTTATTTTCCTAGAAATAAGGCTTTAGGCTTTCGTCAGCAGCCTCAGAGAATGATCAAAGCGGTCATGAAAATTGTTCTTTTTGTTAATTTTCTTTGTACACTTTGGTTTACTAGTCATAGAAACACTAGATTTGGTTCAAAGAGTTGCTTGATTAATTGGCCATCAGCTATGAAGAATCTATTTAGTTTTCCAATTTTTATAGGAATTTTGTGCCCCACTCTACAACCCAGCAATGAGTGAAATCAGAACTTTCCTCTGATATCACAGAAACCCTATACAAAATTAGCCTTTCTCAATGAGATCTTATTGGGATGTTTTATGGAAATCTGAACAACAACTATTGCTGAACAAGTCTTCTGACTCTGAAAAGCAGCCTGTTTCTCCATTCCAATTAATTATGAGGTTCTTTAAACTAGATTGATTTTGTTTCAAAGCTTATTTGTGATTTATTTCAGCTCCCACCTCATCCCCAGTGAGAAACATTCCCATTTTTAGTTAGCTCGCATTAAACCTTTCACAAAGTAAAGCAGATTAATTGTTCACATTTCTTGGTTTGCTATCTGCAGAATTTCGTTTCATACATCGAACTACATCGAAGATTGTTAATTGCATTGTGGCATGAGGCTGAGAAATAAGGCGACAATCAACTGCACATCGAGAGAATTAAAGTTCTCAACACATGGGTACTCTGCCAACTTCTTCAAGATCAGAGGACAGTGCTGTCACTTGCAGCTGGCCACAAATTATAGATCATAGAACAACTTTCATGAGCTTTCATGACATTGGCAGAGCTATTGGGAAACAGACAAGGAGTCAAGCTAAAGTCGCCATAAATCTTACCAGACCATAGGGCTGCTCCCTCATTAGACAGAGACCACTAATGGTGATTTAAACTGAGGGTCGCCAGGCTTCAGGTGAGGGGAGAGGTTGAGAAGGTAAATCCTTCATGGTGACCTCAGCCAGTGCAGGAACTGAACCCACACTTTGGCACCACTCTGCATCAGAGACTGACCATCTAGCCAACTGAGCAAACCAGTCCCTCACTAGGAGTATGACCAATTGGATAGCTTGTACACTGAGCTGGCACAGGAATGATGGGCAGAATGACCTCTGCTTTTAATTATTGCATAGAATTCCAATTCATTCCTGCACTGAGGTTTCAATAAGGACAGGAACTTGGGAGGAATTAGAAATGGTGACAAAGCTATTGGGGGCAGGACAGGGGATCGGGGGGGCAGGAGGGATGGGGGTGATGCTAGCAGTAAGGTCTGGCTGGCTGATGTACATCAATGGGAGCACATGTGCTCTGTAGCCAAACAGTTTATCAAATTAGGCAAGGAGTACAAAAAAGGCACTTGCAACAGTAACCCAGCAAGGGTGCTTTGCCTTCTGGAGGAGAGCAGGGAAGATAGTCCTTCCTGATTCAAGGAAAAACAACTGGACTTAAAACGCTGTCTCCGCAGATGCTGCTGAGTTTCTCCAGCACCTTGCGTTTTATTTCAGATAAATTTCACTTGCATAAACATCACCAAAGGTGGCACAGTGGTTAGCACTGCTGCATCACAGCACCAGGGATCCGGCTTCGATTCCACACTTGGGCAACAGTTTGTGTGGAGTTTGCGCATTCTCTCCGTGTTTGTGTGGGTTTCCTCTGGGATGCTCTAGTTTCCTCCTACAGTCAGAAGATGTGCAGGTTCGGTGGATTGGCTGTGCTAAATTGCCCATAATGTGCAGGACAGGTGAGTTAGCCATGAGAAATGCAGCGGGATGTTCTTCGGAGGGTCAGCGTGGATGCGATGGGCCAAATGGCTTGCTTTCACACTGTAGGGATTCTACCTGCTACTGGCTCCTATATTTCTTTATTGACTGGAAGAGATATTAAGGCTTATAATATAAAGAACCTATGCCCCTTGGCTGTCATAAAAGTTATGGGATGGCATGCCATAAGGTAGAAAGCCTATTGTTGCTGTTATCAGATCTACATACCATCACATTCAGTCCTTGGTTGGTAGGCCCTTGGGCAATAATGTATTCAAAGCCATCAGATAGTGGATTCGCAGGTCGCCTGTACTTAAATACTGTCCCAGCCACCCGGAAATTCCGAGGATTGTCAATCGCTGTGTTCCCATTGAAGAAAAAGTAGCCACCTTCATCTGCGAGAGCTTTAGGAGGTAAAACAAGTGATTAGATACACAGCTGAAATAAGGGAGAAGTAGGTGAGCAGGAAGTGGGGGAGGGGTAAAAAAGTCTGAAGTAACTTAACAACAGTTACCTAAAATATTCGATAACAAGGTGTAGAGCTGGATGAACACAGCAGGCCAAGCAGCATCAGGGGAGCAGGAAAGCTGACGTTTCGGGGCAAGACCCTGCTCCTGTGATGCTGCTTGGCCTGCTGTGTTCATCCAGCTCTTACACCTTGTTATCTCAGATTCTCCAGCATCGGCAGTTCCTACTATCTCTTACCTAAAATATTTTCTGTTTTCCTCCTTTCAATTATTTGGATGTCGGAAGCGCCAACTGGAATGTTTGTAATGAAAAGGTAACCTGCCGTGCAAATAGAGAGAAGGTTGTCAAATCAAAAATCACATCAGTTACATCTTAATGCAGGGATGGTGGGGCTGCCTGGGAGAGGCCTGTGAGTAAAATACGTTTCCCTGTCCAAACTCTTGAGTTTCAATTCAAAGCTTTCAGCTTCAAAAAGAAACCCATGTGAAAAGCTTGTGAAGTATCACAGAAAAGAACTGATCTGACACCTCCCAAGCGATTTAGTGATAAGTAGTTCCTGTGGGATCTGGAATACTACCACATTACACTGACCCCTCAGGCATCTCCACTTCTTCCAAGCTACCTTTGGCAGCCATGATGGAAGATTCCTTAGATCAAAGTTCTGGAACTCACTCTCTAAATCTCTCTGCCACCCCAACTTCCTCTCCTCTGTTAAAATCCATCCTTAAACCTTAACGCTGTTTGGTTTTTGGTCTAATGTCTCCTTCTGTGGCAAGGTGTCAATTTCTGCCTCATAACTCTCCCCTTGGGTCATTTTTATATTAAATGTACTCTACAAATGTAAAGGGATTTTTAAAAAGTTCTTTCATCAGTGTCACAGGCAAGGCATGTGTTGTCCATCCCTAATTGCCATAACTTGCTTGCTCAGCCATTTCAGAGGCTGGTTTCAAAGTAAACTACTTTGCTGTACATCTGGGCTCACACGTAGGCCAGACCAGGTGAAAATGACACATTTCCTTCCCTGAAGGAGATTAGTGAACCAGATGGGTCTTCATAACAACTGAAGGTCAGTATTAGTCTGTGCTTCTGGATTACTGATCTAGCAACATTACCACTCTGCCACCATCGCTCCTGTTCTTACTGTCACCAATGATCCCACCAATCCATTGCCTTCATTTAGCACAGAAACCAAACACCCATCCCACACCGTCTAATGTACATCAAGGAGCTACTGCATGCATTTCCAGTGGACAGCTGCTATGGTGTAACCTCTTACCAAGATGTTTGTGGAAAACACCTGAAGATGAAGGTAGGGAGGCCTTCCCTTCCATTCATAACCAATGTATATATATTCTATTGCTTTAAGTGAGACCAACAGTTAGATGCCACACCTACCTAAATGCGTAATCCCACGTCGGTAGGTGCCCGAGATTCGGAAGCAGGTGCTGCCATCACCACCACAGAGTCCGCATTTATCTAGCCGTTTGGAGGAGTACAGGAGACCATCACAACCAACAGGCTGCAAACAAACATGTATTACGTTGACTGGGACTCTGGGCAGCTGACTTTCTACCGAAGAGTTACAGAGTTACCTTTCAAATGATGGAAGGGGATACTTTCTCCAGTCTAACTTAAAAATAGTGACAATCCCTTCAGTCTACAGGGAGCTATCAATCCCAACAATCCCGGGTCCTAACATCTCTAATGCAGACCTGCTGAGTTATCATAGAACGAGACCACATATAGAGAGGGTATTCTGTCCCATCATGCCTGTCCCAGCTTTTTGAAAAGCAATGCAATCAGTTCCATTCAGCTTTCATACAATCATGGTCATAATCATACAGCACGGAAACAGACCTTTCGGTCCAACAACTCCATGCCAACCATAATCCCAAACTAAACTAGTCCCACCTGCCTGCCCTTGGCCCATATCCCTCCAAACATTTCTTATTCATGTCCTTATCCAAATGTCTTTTAAACATTGCAATTGTACCCGCATCCACCACTTCCTCTGGAAGTTCATTCCACACACGAACCACTCTGTGTAAAAAAATCTTTCTCCTCTCACCTTAAAAATAGTCCCCCTAGTTTTGAAATACCCCACACTAGGGAAAAGATACCTGTCATTCACCTTATCTACACCCCTCATGATTTTATAAACCTCAGTAAGGTCACCCTTCAACCTTCTTTACTCCAAGGAAATCCAGCCTCTCCTTATAACTTAATCCTTCAAGTCCTGGAAAATCCACGTAAATCTTTACTGAAGCCTCTCCAATTTAACAATAACCTCCCTATAACAGAGTGACCAGATCTATAAGTGGTATTCCAGAAGAGGCCTCACCAATGTCCTGTAGAACCTCAACATAACGTCCCACTTCTGTACTCAAAGGTCTGAGCCTTGTAAATAGCTCTCCACCCAGGTATTTAAAGAACAGCTCAATTTAGTGCATTCACACCAGATTCAAACTTTCCAGGTCACCAATCATCAGTAAATCCGCACAGACAGGTCAGAGAGTCAAATCACAGGCCTTGGACATGGATTGCTCAGTTCCCTAAATTTGAAGAACAGATTGCTAAACCATTGAACATTCCACTGTATATATGTTCAGATAATGAAGGCTCAGAGCAGAAAAGAAAGACTGTCAGTGTCTAGAAGTCATAGCATTTCACAAAGCACCTCTTCAACTTCTTGGTGCATTCCGCATGACTGATGCACATACTCACTGCAGGTGAAGTTGCAAAATGCCTGGGCTCTCCCAAGCATCAAGCACATGGACGGATACAAGCTACCAGGGATCAGGGTCAGTTCAGTCCATTTGGAACTCTCATCTCTGAAATGCTGTGGATACCAGAGATCCATTGAAATTTGCAAGACCGAGACTGAAAGCTCTTGATTAGATAAGAGGACCAAGGAAAATGAGTCCAAGGTGAAAAATTAAAACAAACATATCAGACACATTTTCAGTCAAGACGCAACATGTTCATGAGACTGAAGGGCAAAATAATTGTAGTGATAATAATGAGGTCAGCCAGCTAAACTCAGAAAAGGAGCTCCCTGAATGGGGTTGTTAACCTGGTCCAATCAGGGAGCCCTGGCTGATAGATAGAAAAAAGAATTGTCACAGGTTTTGATACTCTGGGTGCTTATTCTGATGAGGCTATGTCAGAGTCAAGGACTTTACATGTGTAAATAAAGGTTGACTTGGTGACGGGAGTTATGTGGGGTTATTTCAGTGGCGACAAGGGTAAAGCACATTCCTGAAGAAACTTGCTCGCAACAGTGGTCTTTGAGTTGGGGTAAGCATTTCTTGCATCATGCCATTATTTGGGAAGCTTCATCTGGGCCCAGTACGTGGAAAGAATGCATTATTTTTTCCAGCCAAATGACACTGGGGCAGATGAAAAGCAACAAGTAATTCTCCTGATAGTCTGTGGAGCCACAGCTTTTTCTGTTATTAGGAGTCTAAAGCACCAGATACTAAAACTTCTCAAGAGTTGACAGATTTGTAAGAGAATATTACAACCCCAAATTCTCCTCTAATTCTGAGACACTGCTGTTTTTACTTGGTAATTCGAGAAACAGGAGAATCCGTATTAGGAATTTGACCAGGTTAAGCTGACTGGCAGAAGACCGTGATATTGGTTTATTGCTTAATGAGACACTGTGAGACCAGTTGATATGTGGGATTAATGATGTAACCATGCAATAACGCCTACTAGCTGAAGTCTAACTGGACATCAAAGAGGCACTACAACTCGTTTTATCATTGGAAAATGTGGCAAGTGGAGTGTAAGAATTGCAGGGTATTCCAATGGAAGTGGACACCCTCTCCGGGCTAACTGAGCTTGGGGTACACCCCTTGAGTCAGGCAATTGCATAGCCTCACATATCCTGATTGGAGGACTCTAGATTGACCCACAGCAAAACCCCAAAACAAAGCCAAGCCTCAGCCAAATGGTTAAAATTTACTTCAGGATCCAGGCCGGCAAGCCATCGTAGTTGCTGCCGGCATTCGGATTTGAGACAGCAAACGAGTCTTATTAGGCCTAAATTGAGCAAAATAACTCATAGGCTGCAATCCAGGAGAATGCACACCTTGGGAAGTCCACCTACATCTAGGTTGGAACAATCAAATTGCTTAGCAACATCCAAATCAGAGCCTATCAAAATAAACTTCTGGTTAAATGGTTACCCAGTTCTGATGGAGGTTGATACCAGCGCTGTCATCTCAGGGATCGCAGAACCAGTCTTTAACAAAATTCACTCTAGACTCCAATGCTTAAGTTTGCACTAGACAGAGAACCTATACCGGGGAACCTTTACAGATTAAGGGTACAACTTTGGTTCCGGTCTCATGAAAAGCAGCTGGTTCAGTCGCCAGTGACTGTAGTAGAAAGCTAAACCTGATGCAGCGGAATTGCTTGAGAGATTCACTGAGTTTGGCTCAACACTTTTCAATTAGAAAATGGCTGCCTGAGTAAAGTCCTAATGAAATGCCTAGAAGTCTTCCAGGAAGGTCTAGAGACTATCACAGGGGCCAAGACCACCTTGTATATTGACCAGGAAGCAATTCCATGAGTCTGCAAGGCCTGACAAGTGCCTTATGGGCAAAATTACAGGCAGAAATCGGGAGGGTGCAAAGTGAAGGAATCATCAGTCCAGTTTGCAGAATGGGCAGCATCGGTCTTACCGATTGTGAAGCCCAGTGGGTCGGTTCACCTTTGCAGGTATTTCAAATAAGTAGTAAACTGCTTTTTGCAGCTGGATAAATACCCAATTGCTCGCTTGGAGGATTTATATGCAAAACTGGCAAGTGGGCGGACCTTCACAAAGCTGGACATAAGCCACGTTTACTTGCGGTTGCGTTTAGATGAGGATTCCCAAAAGTATGCTACAATTAATACCCATAAGGGTTTGTACCAATATACGAGACTGACGTTTGGGATATTGTCAGCCTGCTCAATTTTTCAGCGGACAATTGAGAATATTTTGCAAGGTCTACCTCAGGTCACCATGTATCTAGATGACATGCTAATAACACGGAAGGCTAATAAGGAATGCTCAGAAAACATGGACGTAGTCCATGGCTCCCACGTTAGTCCAGGAGCTTAGTTTATTTCTTGGGCTGGTAAATTATTACAGAAAGTACATAAATAACCAGGCCTCCATCCTGGCACCTTTGCATTAACTTTTAAAAACTGGTCAGCCTTGGAAATGGTCACACAGACAAGCCAAAGCTTTCAGTGAAGTGAAGAAACAGTTATCATCCTCTCAGGTGTTGGCACACTACGATCCTAAGCGAGATCTGGTATTGATATGCGATGCCTCCATGTATGGCATCGGTGTTGTATTAGCTCATAGGTGCAGGAGGAATGGAGAGGAACTCCCAATAGCGCATGCATCCAGGACTTTGGCTAATGCAGAGCGTAAATACGCCCAGATAGAGAAAGGAGATTGGCGGTCACATTTGGAGTCTGAAAGTTCCACCAATACCTTCACGGACATAAATCTGTAGTAATAACGGCCCCCAAACCCCTGCAAGGCCTACTTAAAGAGGACAAGTTGGTGCCGCCCATAGCTTCAGAACAAATACAGTGGCGGGCTGTAATATTAAGTGCCTATAATTACAAGTTGGAACACTCTCCGGGAGCGCAAGTAGTAAATGCAGATGTATGGAGCCACCTTCTGCTGGCAGATACACCACTGGTGGTACCACCAACAGAAGAGTCTGTAATGGTTTCAGATTTTCTGGACACGCTTCCAGTCACAGCTGACAATATCAGACTTAGGACAGCGAAAGATCTGGTCCTGTCAAAACTGAAACAGCTGGTGGTGATGGGAGAAACCATAGGGCCATCGTAACCAGAAGTGAAACATTTTTGGACCTGGAGAGACCAGACGATGGCATATTATTAAGGGGAGCAAAAGTGAGTGTCCTGAGCAGTGGTCGCAACCAAATACTGGCTGAACTCCACCAGCGTCATCCAGGGGTTTCCAAAATGAGGATGTTGGTAAGAAGTTCTATCTGCTGGCCAGGATCGGATGCTGACTTAGCTGTGTTAGTGGGGCAGTGCCCAGAGTGCCAACAAGGACATAAATTACCGCCAGCAGCTCTCCCACATTCGTAGAAGTGGCTGGGTACACCCTGGGCTCAGTTACACATCAACTGTGCAGGTCCTTTCAGGACTCAATGTTCTTAGTCATTGTGGATGCCCACTCAAAGTGGCTGGACATGTGTTGAGTTCATTGTCAAACATGGGGATGACATTAGAAAAACTGCGCACATCTATTTCAATACGTGGACCCCCCAGAAGCGCTGGTCACAGATAACGGTCCATCATTTACCAGCAGGGAATTTGAGTATTTCCTAAAGTTGAATGGTATTCATCATATAAGGACATCTCTGTATCATCCATTAACCATTGGTCTAGCAGAAAGAGCAGTCCGAACTTTGAAGGCAGGCTTAGAAAAACAGTCTATAGCCTCGCTAGATGCCAAGCTGTCACAGTTCTTGTTTGATTATACCTGACATACAATGACAGGAATAGCATCGGGAGAATTGCTAATGGGTAGAAGTCTCCACACCAGGTTAAACCTGACCTTCTCGGACCTGGATGAGGGTGAAACGGCATTGGGAATGCCAATGCCCGCCCCAAAACTCCTCCAAGTGGGAGAAAGAGTTTGCTACAGGTGATGAAGTTTGGTGTAGGAACCATGGGAATGGCCTGGCCTGGGCAACAGGTATGGTCAATGTGAGGTCTGGTCCCATGACATATAAAGCTCAGGTTGGTGCGACGGTCCTCAACAAGCATGTGAGCCACATGAAAGCTGCAAACTCGCAAATGGTGCGGGAGCAAAACGCGCCGTGCTCCTTGGAACAGTCGGAAAGGCTGCCGGAACCTGTGGGGTCATCCCCTCTGTCAGGCGTCGACATGTCTTCTGAATCCGAGATGTATATGGCAGATGTAGCCACATTGATATCTTTGCCAGTGGAAGAAGAGAGTGAATTTCCAATGAGGCATTCCTAGCACAAGAGGCAAGCTCCCACGCATTTTACACTGCCCGTATCGGATGCCAAGTCAGAGGAACCTTATCCAGTGCTAAAACACTCCAAGAAAGCAGGCCAGCCTATGTCCTCGGGCTCAGGGCAGCAGGGATGTAGCTATTGTAACAAGGTCAGCCAGGTGGACCTCATACGAGTTCCGTGACTGGAGCTGTATATCTGGTCCAATCGGGGAGCCCTGGCTGACAGGCAAAAAGAGAAGTGTCAGGGATACTGACACTCTGGGTGCTGACTCTGATGAGGTTGTGTCAGAGTCAAGGACTTTCCACGAGTAAATAAAGGGTGGCTCGGTGACGGGATGGCAACTTCTGCGGAGTTATTTCATTTCTGTTATTACTATTTCCCCTGTGTCGACACATTGCACCATTGTACAATATTTAGGTTCCGATTTGAATCTAGATCCAATCAGTATTCTGAAAGTTCCCAGGGAAGAACAACTGGCCAAGGACAATGTTCAGCAAGTTCAATACCTCAAAGGGTGTTTTTTTAAAAGGCATGACATTAAGACCAACATCTCCCTTCTGAGGTGTGGTGCAAAGAAGTGATAGCTGTAATTCATCCCTTCACTATGCTCAAAATGCTTCAGGTCTTTGATGCGTATAGATTATCTACATTAATGACAGATTCAAATAAGCTCCCCAAAACTAACTGGTCCATTCTTTATTTCTCTCGTTCACCTTTCCAAAATACCAGAGGTATATTTGCAATTTTCCAATTTAAACGGATAATTCCTGCATCGAGATTGCTTCGAAGGATCACGACCAACACATCTACAATTTCCTCAGCCATTTCCTTTCTGATCTTGTGGCGGAACCTGTCAGGTCTCAAAAATCAATCAGTAGTTTTGAACCGTCATTTTTTTTCTCAAACTGTTTTCTTTCTGATGTTAACTTTGGTGAGATCCAGCCCTCAACTTCTTACTCATCACTATGGAATCACAAAAATACGAACCCCTTCTCCTCCATACCAAACAACAACACAAAGTCATTCTTCAATATTCAAATCTTTTTAAGGGCTATGGAGCAAAGGAAGGTAAATGCAACTGAAATACAAACCAGGCACAATCTAACTAAGTGGCAAAACAGACTAGTCTTTTGTTTAACCTACTCAATGCAAATCAATGAAATGCCATGGGATACTTGTGCAGAATCAGTGTTGGAATAACATGTTATTTAAAGCAAATACATTGCACTACACTGTCCACCCTCAATTCTTAGACACTGTTTTCACTTCAATGGAGGGCTCATTTCCAGCATTTCAATTTGATGGACTCTTCGAAGTTCACTCAAACACATCAGCCTTACCTCACATCGGCCAGTAATGCAGACACCCTGATAGGTTCTGTCTCGGCACGATGTTCCATCCTGAGCAGGAACCATTAACTGCCTCTCTCCATCAGTAGTGGTGCATTGCAAGTCGCATGGCTTATTAGAAATATTAATGTGGTCATCTGTTTGATAGGAACAGAACAGAGAATAACGTTAAAAAGAGCAGAATTAAGAGCACTCTCTCTGAATATACATCGCATTCATAAAAAGGCTAATGGCCGAAAGGAACAAATTGAGGTACATGGGTGTGATTTATTTGCCATTACAGAGACATAGCTACATGATGACCATGGATATGAATATCCAATATGTTGTCTAAGACAGATATACATTCCTCTAAGGCAGAAACACCTAAAGGGAATATTAAATTAACCATGGTTAGTGAAAGCTAAAGATCACGTTCGATCAAAGAAGTGCTTTATAATGATGCCAGAAAAAGTGGTGATTCTGCGGATTGGCACCAAATTAAAACACAGTAAATGACAACCAAGAAAGTTACTAACAATGGAAAAGAGAATGTGAATGCAAGCTTGTAGGAAATATGAAAGCAGACTGTAAAAGCTTCTTAGGAAAGGAAAGCTTCTTGAACAGGAACGGATTAGTTTGGACAATTGCAGGGCCCATTAGACATGGGGACTGGAGAATTTACGGTGGAGAACCAGGGATGTGGCAGAGAAGTTAAACAGTCACTTTGCACCTGTCTTCACGAATAAGTTACAGAAAACCTCCCAGAAATCTCATTGAATAATAACCAAAAGAAACTAATATTAATAAAGAGGTTGACCCAATGAGCGACTGATTATTAGACTGGTGAATAGTGGTGAAAAACATTGTGCTGACGAGGATCATCATGATTGAACAGTCAGCAAGCAAGTTAGTCTACAGGTAGAAGTCATCTTGGGTTGTACTAAAGTACATGACAAAATCCTTGATGATTTGTTCACGACCGCATTGGAGAATGCAGAACACATTGGTTTGCTGATAAGCAAACATCCCCATCAAGAGGCTAGTTTAGAACACTTAAGAGAGGCAAGTGATCAGCGTGTGTGCTGCATTGATAGCCAGCAAGGGAAAACCAAACAAAGACGGTGGATGCAGGAGATCTGAAACAAACAAAACAGAAAAGGTTTTACTCAGAGCGTTGTGAACCGTGAAAATTTGCTTTGCATATGATTAAGGCAAAGGTTGATAAATTTCTGATTACTGACGGCGTACAGCATTGTGGTAAAGGTCTTTGAAATGCTTATTTGGCCATGATCATATTGAATAGTAAGGAAGGCTCAACAGCCTGAATGACCTCCTCCTGTTCCTATGATTCTCTGAAACTTATAAAATTCTTACAAGGCACGGCAGGATGAGTACAGATAGGACATTCCCTCAGGCTGGTAAGTCTAAAACCAGGAATCATAATCTCAGGATATCAGGCAGGCCATTTAAGATTGAGATGAGAAGGAATTTCTTCAGAGATGAATCTCTGGAAGTGTCTAGCCCAGAGAGCTGTGGAAGGTCAATAATTGAGCAGGTTGAAGACAGAAATTCAATAGGTTTCTAGAGTCGAATGACAAAGAGGGAGTGATGTCAAAGTGCCATGGGAGGAGGATGAAAAGATGGAATGTTAAAGATGACGGCACCATGCTCCTTACCTGGATACAGTGGAACCCAGTGATAGTATCTGCCACTGAATGCTTTGGCATTAAAAGCAGAACATTGCTGTTGTTTGAAGCTGATGCCATTGTTTGGACAGGGCTGTGGAGAAATAAGAACACCAAGAAAAATACTACAATCTCACATTTTTCATGACCTCAGGACATCATCAAATGCTGTACAACGAATTATGTACTTTTTTTGAAGTGCAGTCATTGTCGTATTGTGGGGAAATTGCGCACAGAAGATTCTGACAAACAGCGATCTCATAATCTACTTTAATTCTGTTGACTGAGAGGTAAACGTTGGCCAGGGTGCCTGGTAAATATTGCTTGGATCATCTACATCCACTGCAGTGGGCAGATCAGGCCTCAGTTCAGCATCTCATCACTGACAATACAGCACTCACTTGGTTCTGCACTGACAATGTCAATCAATATTTGTGTCCACAAGTCTCTTAACTGGGACTTGAACTCAGAAACAATGACTGGAGCCAAACCAGGCACAAAGGAAGATGGCTGTGGTTTATTAATTCTTTATTAATTACTAGTCATCTCAGCTCCAGGACATCTCTGCAGGAGTTCGTCAGGGTAGTGAGACAGGCACAACCAACTTCAGCTGCTTCATCAATGACCTTCCCTCTATCGTAAGGTCAGAAGTGGGGATGTTCACTAATGATTGCACAATGTTTGACACCATTTGAGACTCCTCACATGCTGCAGCATTTGGTGAACCATTGCAGCAAAGCCTGGACAACATCAGGCTTGGGCTGACAAGTGGCAGGTAACATGTGCCACAGAAGTACAAAGCAATGACCATCTCAAACAAGACAGAATCTAACCATCTCCCTTAACGTTCATTGGTATCACTATCACTGAATATCCCACCATCAACGTGCTGGCGTTACTAGAAATCCAAATTGCACCAGACAAATGACTATTGTGGTTAGTCACAAGAGCAAGTCAGAAGCTGGGAATCCTGCAGCAAGTAACTCACCTCTTGACTCCCAAAGCCTGTCTACCATCTACAAAGTATGAGTCTGGAGTGAGATGGGCTACTCACAACTTGCCTGGGTGACTGCAGCTCCCACAATACTCAAGAGGTACAACACCAAAACCAGGACACAGCAGCCAGTTTTACCAGCATGCAACATTCATGCTGCATCAGAATTCAACATTCAATCCCTTCACACCAACGCACATTGGCAGCAGTATGTATCATCTACATCTGTGAGTCAGTGTTGCATGTGACCGGATGTGATAAATGCAATGTTTCTCCTGATTGGTTAGCCTAGAACCAGGGGATAATCGCCGTTTAAGACGCAGGCCAATTAAAATTGAGATTAGAAGGAATTTCTTCACCCAGAGAGCGGTGAATCTACACTAGAGGACTGTAAAAGCTCAATTATTGAGAAGGTTCAAGATAGAAATTATTAGATTTCTAGAAACTATTGACATTGAGGGATATGGAGAGTGTGAGAAAGTGATGCTGTTGGTTGATCAGTCATGATCTAGAATAACCAGTCAAGTTCGATGGGCTGAATAGCCTACCCCTGCCCCTTTGTTTCTCTGTTCCTACGCACTGTAGAAAACTCATCCAGGCTGTTTCGACAGCTACTTCTAAACCCAAGACCACTGCCAACTAGAACAATAAGGTCAATGCTTTGTGCGTGGGAAATCATGTCTCACAAACATGATTGAGTTTTTGAGGATGTAACCAAAAAGATGAATGAGGGCAGAGCGATAGATGTTGTCTACATGGACTTTAGTAAAGCCTCTGACAAGGTTCCGCATGGCAGACTAATTAGTAAAGTTAGATCACATGGGATTCAGGGAGACCTTGCCAATAGATACAAAATTAGCTTGATGGTTGAAGACAGAGGGTGGGTGGAGGGTTGTTTTTCAGACTGGAGGCCTGTGACCAGCAGAGCTCCCCAGGGATCGGTGCTGGGTCCACTTTTGTTTGTAATTTATATAAACAATTTGGATGAGAATTTAGGAGGCATGATTAGTAAATTTGCAGATGACACCAAAATTGGTGGTATAGTCGATAGTGAAGAAGGTTATCTAAGATTAATCTTGATCAATTGGACCAATATACCGAGGAATAGCAGATGGAGTTTAATTTGGATAAATCCAACATATTGCACTTTGATAAAACAAACAACGGCAGCACTTACACAGTTAATGGTAAGGCCCTAGGCGGTGCTGTTGAACAGAGAAACCCAGGGCGCTCCGGTACATAATTCTTTGAAAGTTGCATCATAGGTAGTTACGGTAGTTAAGAAGGCACTTAGCATGCTTGCCTTCATTGCTCAGACCATTGAGTATAGGAGTTGGGACATCATGTAGAGGTTGTATAGGGCATTGGTGGGGCTACTTTTGGAGAATTGTGTACATTTCTGGTCACCCTGCCACAAGAAGGATATTATTAAACTGTAGAGGGCTCAGAAAAGATTTACCAGGATGTTGCCAAGACTGTAGGGTTTGAGTTATCAGGAGAGACTGGATAGGCTGGGAATATTTTCACTGGAGCACAGGAGGTTGAGGGATGACCTTATAGAGGTTTATAAAATCATGACGGACATGGTTAAGGTTATTAGCAAAGATCTTTTCCCTAGGGTGGGCGAGTTCTGAACTAGAGGGAATATTTTTAAGGTGAAAGGAGAAATATTTAAAGGGACCAGAGGGTGGTTCATACATGGAATGAACTGCCAGAGGAAGTGATACTTGCAACATTTGAAAGACATTTGGATAGGTACGTGAATAGGAAAGGTTTAGAGGGATAATGGGCCAAATGTAGGCAAGTGGGACTAGTTTAGTTTGGGAAACTTGGTCAGCATGGACGAGTTGGACCGAAGGATCTGTTTCCGTACTGTGTGACTCTACATACATGGGAGCACCACAACTTGCAAATTCCCTTCCAAGCCACACACGATCTTTACTTGGAAACATTTTGCCATTCCTTCGCTGTCACTGTGCCAAAATTCTGGAAACTCCCTTCTTAACAGCACTGTGAGTTTACCTACACCTCAAAGACTCCAGCGATACATAAATACAGCTCGCCATCACCTTCTCTAGGGCAGTAGGGATTGGGCAATAATTACTGACCTGGCCAGCAACGTCCAGTTTTCATAATTTTATAGAGAAAACCTTCTGATTCAAAGAAGTACGTGCTACCAGTTGTGCCAAAGCTGACAGGAGGATGGTATGGTACTATGCGGTGCATACCATTCTGCAGTGGCAAAGGCAAAGTTTCTAACCCTTGAATCTTAGTTGTTGTTTATAAAGTATTGGGCAGGTAAAGGGAAGAACCAATTTGTTGGCAACACATGGTTCATTTAAAGTGAGGTCAGCGACTGTTAGACCAGGTAGAATCCCAAAGAAAAATCCAATGATGACCATAGACAAACTCAATGAAGGAGAAGCATTGAATACCTGGTGTTGTTTGTGGCTGAGTTTGTACCAAAGGAACAAGAATGAGGAGGGAAGAAAGAGAACAGATAAAATAGACTTTGAGACAAAGAAGTAGAAAAATTTACCTGGTTCTGGCATAAGTGGTAGCGCCGAGGTGATCCAGTGCAAAAGGTGCCATTTTTGTTTTGTGAAATTATACGTCTGCAAAACAAAAAAGCCATGTTTCAATAAAAATGCTGCATGGTTAAATCCAATTTAACAGCTCAAACCAAGTTATAAACATTATCTCATATAACTGGAATACAGCAATTCACTATCTAATGGAAGGTCTCGAAACTGAAACATGAACACTTTCTGCACTGATGCTGTTTGAGCTGTTGAGTATTTCAAGCATTTTCTGTTTAAATGCAATTTTGTATTTTTGAAACGTATTTGGAAATTGACCAAAGTAATGCCCATCACATAGGAAATCCGTTCAATGAATTAAGCAACGCGGAACAAAATCCTACTCTTTCTGAAATAGTTGCATATGTAAACTCCCAATGCATGTCTTTCTCAGAAAGACCTATTGCTGCATCAGGAACTGAAGCTTAGTTGAGGAATCATGACTGAAAGAGGAGCCCATTTGCTGGAATGCTCTTCTTTTTCGTTTCCTAATGATGACTCAGTTCAATCCAATTGGCCACAATTCAATTGTGCATCCCAACATGCTAATTTTAGTGATCCAGCCCAACTCACTCTCTATGCTCACTTAACCTCCCTTTAGGTGTCTGAGCACAACACCTCTCCATGCTTCAGTTTCCAAAGACAGCATTTCAATAAGAAAGAGGAGAACTTGCATTTTTATATAGCACCTTGAATTCGCTCCCAAAATTTCCCATTACATTTTAAGCGAATGAAATACCTTTAAAGTGTTACACCATTGGTAAGCCACAGCCCACAGTCAATATGCATACAGCAAGATTATACAACAAGAAGACTGGCAGTGCTGGTACTTGTCCAGAGATAAAAAGAGAACTCCCTTAACATCTTCAAACAGAGCCATGACAATTTTGATACAGCTCAGACATCCTTCACCCATTTATCCAAAAACTGAAAAGTCCTGAAAACCAAAGTTTTTCCAAATGCCCCAAACTCAGTCAGTTCGAGCCCTTCGGAAGAAACTTCATTTTTAGATCTGTTTGGGTCTATTTGGATGAAGCAAAGTTTTTCCCAAAGGCATGAACGGATCCAAACGTACCCAAATGGACCCACAGTGGACCTCAGTGTGTCTTGGGAAATGCAAGTCTTTTGGCAATTGTTTTATGCATGATTCTTCTCTTCTGTAAATCGTCATTTATACACAGCCACGCACACAATGCACACACACTGCAGTCGGCAGAACTTGATGGACCCCAGAAAATTGCAAGATTCAAAATCCATTTCTTTCATCAATGAATCTGACGCACATTCTGTTCTTTGCATTTCCTTAATGTAAAATCTTTAAAATTCATTGAAGTTCAATAAGTCATGAATTCAAACTATGACCTTCATTTCAACCCTATTTGCTGAGTTAGAACAAGTGATTAAAACTGTGCAAATCTATTTACTACCTTGTATCTGAAAATCAAAACTATTCTTCATCCAAGAAACAGTAGGCCCCAAGTTTTCAGATAAAAGATACCAAACCTGTATTCATCTGAACAAGCAAATGAGGCCTCTGTATGATACTGCCTCTAAGTGGCAACATGGCCAGCTAAGTGATGTGCTCAATTTGGGGCTTGAACCCACAATCCACTGATTAAGAGGCAAACTTCCTCCTGCTGAGATAAACTTACATTCGCTGAGTAGCACAGCTGAACACCACAAATCCACAACATCACACGCCCCCAAGTGCTTCCCACCTTATGCATATCCGGCTGCCCTAAATATTCCCTGATCCCACTGTTTAAGTCAACTACTCTCCATCCAATCACTTCACACGGGACCTCCCAAGTATGCTACCATGTACGCCTGTTCAGCCTGCTTCATTCAATCCCCTTCCATTCTAGCCAGCTACGTGGTGTACTTCGTGTTCCCTTTGAATCCAAGAGCTTCCCAGCCCAGCCTTTTACTCAATTTGAGCTTTTCCATCAACCACAAGTACTCTCTGTGCTGTGGATTACTAAAGAGTAAGAAATGAAAGGAAAAAGCAAGAGATGGAGATCTGCTGCCAACCCGATTTTCCTAATCCACCTGCATGTTGAAGTCTCCCATGATGATTGTAATAGTGTTTTTCTAACATGCCTTTTCTATCTCCTGATTTATTTTCTTCCCCACATCCTGACTACAGCTAGGAGGCCTGTACACAACTCCCATCAGGGTCTTTTCTCCTTTGCAGTTCTTCAACTCTATCCGCACAGATTCTATGCCTTCCAAATCTAAATCACATCTTGCTCCCGATTTAATTTAATTTTTGCTATCAAGCCATTCCCTGCCCTTGTGTCGGTCCTTTTGATAGGACTATCCCTGGATATTTAGTTCCCAGCCCTGATCCCCTTGCAGCCACGTCTCTGTGATACCCACAACATCATACCTGCCAGTTTCAATCTGCACCGAAAACTCATTAACCGTGTTTGGTACACTGCGTGCATTTAAGAACAACACCCTCAGCTCTACATTGACATCGCTTTTTCTCAGAATTGTCCCCTTACCTTCTGTGCCTGAAGTTAGATTCCTGACCCTATCCACACTCTCTGTCCTATTACTTGTTCTGGAAACGTTAAAAACGCTTTCCTGAGCCCTCCCTGCACCTTTGACTCTACATAATTTCCATGCAACTGAACTCACCCACCCCACTAGTCTGCTAGTGGGAAGCCATTTTAAATCAAATGTAGTCCTCCAGGTACTAGAGTGGACCTCCTTGCCTGCTGGAAAATACCAGATAGCCTCTGACCAATGACATTAATCCAAATTTAAGGGTTACAGGGATATGGTAGAGGGGTAGGCCTGTGTGGGATGCTCTTCGGAGGATCAGTGTGGACTCGATAGGCCGAATGGCCTGTTTCCATAATGTGGCGATTCTATGATTCTAAAGTCCCAGTCATTTGCTACATGTATGAGGCTTCACGAGTCCATAGTTTGAATCAGGACAATTTTCATTTTACAAGCCAAACAAAGCAAACATTAAATATCATCTTAGATAAGCATTTATATTCTAAAAGCCAAAGTCAAAATTTGTTAAACGTGAATTAATAAGCAAATCGCTGTTGATTGTAAATTATAAATTGCATATTAAAAGGCAAGGAGATAGATCTTTGAAATTGCCTCTGCAGTCTACTCAGCATTTAGGTCAGCAAATTCAGTCACAACATCTTTCAAATTCTACCTTCCTCACAAAGAGTTTCAGCTCCTCTGTTTCTCTGATGTAGCTCGATTTACAGCCGACAGCAGTGCATAACCAACCTGGATAAAGTCTTCACTAAAAATAGCACAGCATTAAATGTAGGGCAACCCAGGTGTGGTCTTCACTAAAAATGCCACAAGTCTGTAGCACGGTACAGCACGGTGACTCAGTAGCTGGCACCACTGCCTCGCAGTGCCAGGGACCTGGGTTCAATTCTGGACTTGGATGGCTATCTGTGTGGAGTCTGCACATTCTCTGTGTTGGGTTTCCACTGGGTGCCGGAGTTTCCTCCCACAGTCCAAGATGTGCAGGTGAGGTGGATTGGCCATGCTAAATTGCCCATGGTGTTCAGGGATGTGCAGGCTAGGTGGATCAACCATGGGAAGTGAGGGGTTATGGGGATCAGGTGGATTTGGATGAGAATCCCTTCGGAGGATTGGTGTGCAGTGTGCCCACTGCATCAAAATCAAGGTCATATGGAATGAACAGGGAAGAGGTATCAATTGGGACACATGCATTTCATGCTCAGGGACTGCAGAACTTTATCAGATTCAAAGTACTTGCTCAATGAACTTCTTGTCTCGGTGTTAAGGGGTGAAGGTATTCATTCTGATATACTGGTATCTGGATGTGAGGAATGTGAGGGACAAAGACTAAACTCTTCACAAAAAGAAATAAAGATTAGATCCAGAGCAGTCACTGTGGCGTCCCTGTTCCTCTGTTTGCATCAACCACCTTTTTTAGGAAAATCCCATGGAGGTCACAAAACGCGGGGAGTTCCCATTCTTTTTGAATGTTTGCACATGGACTGCAGCAGTTCAAGAAGGCAGCTCACTATCACCTTCTCAACAGCAGCTAGGAAGAGGCAATGAATGGTGGTCCAGCCACCAACACCCTTGTCCTGTGAGATATCGAAAGAAACTCAGGTATTTAATGAGCTTGATCTCAAAGTTAAAGTGGAAGTTTGTTCCTTCAACTCAGTTATTCATCATTCTGTGCAGGATACAAAGAGGCTGACTGCTTCATTGAAGGACCTGGCCATTCAGATTGGGCCTGAATCCATGCTACAGAAGACATGCATCCAGAATATTGTCAATTCTTTCATTATGCTCGTTGTTCAGGACAGCAACTTACATTTCTTAGATATAATGCAGTGTGGAGCTGGAGGAACACAACGGCCAGGCAGCATCAGAAGAGCAGAGCAGGAAAGTTGACGTTTCAGGTCAACTTTCCTGCTTCTTTGATGTTGCCTGGCCTGCTGTGTTCCTCCAGCTCCACACTGTGTTATCTCTGACTCCAGCATCTGTAGTTCTTACTATCTCTGAGTGAGTTGTAACTTACATTTCATGTTTCGCTATGCAAAGATGATAAAGACAGTGAATTGGGCAAAGAAGCAGTGCAAAATTAGCGAGTCTGGGGGAAGAATAAGTCCGAAAGGGTTTGGTAAAGCCTTGCAAAAGCAGCTTAAGGACAATGCAGAGGCTTTAGAGAGGGAGTTCCAGAGCACATAGCCATGACAAGCAATAACATTTTTACTGAGGAACTTGCTCTCTTCAGGGGACTTCGGAGAAATGGGAAGGCCGGGGGATACATGTTAACCCAGCAGAGAGGAGAGACCAGTGCGGGATACACCGTCACAACCACCTTAAACTCGCCTGAAGAGCGAGAGAAGTGCATCCAAAATTCTTGCCTTTCTCACATCCCTGATTTTCATTGGTCCACTATTGGCAGACCAATGCCATTGTAGCGACAGATGGCTCAGCCTGCAATGGGAAGTGAGCAGATTCCCACGAACAGGGAAAGTGTTTGGGGACAGGTGGGGGGGGGGGGGGGGGAA